CATGTTACCTGACAGCAGTGCCTACAGTAGTCATAAAGTGCATGTTTACCTGACAGCAATGCCTACAGTAGTTATAAAGTGCATGTTTATCTGACAGCAGTGCCTACAGTAGTCATAAAGTGCATGTTTACCTGACAGTAGTCATAAAGTGCATGTTTACCTGACAGTAGTCATAAAGTGCATGTTTACCTGACAGCAGTGCCTACAGTAGTCATAAAGTGCATGTTTACCTGACAGCAATGCCTACTGTAGTCATAAAGTGCATGTTTATCTGACAGCAGTGCCTACTGTAGTCATAAAGCCCGCCGCTGGGTTTGAATGGTGGGTATTTTGTCGGTTCCACGTGGTTGCAAAGACTAATGCCACTTGATCTCTACCGAGGCTCCATTTAACCCCCAGTTGTTGCTCAGAGAGTTTCTTATTCCTTATTTTAGATAACACTTCTATCGGTTTTAGGACCTACATGTTAAATTTGTGGGAAAAAACTATCTTGTTCTCTCTTTCTGTGTTTTAAGTGAGTGGGTAGGCCTAATAATGCGAAAACTTAACCAATTCAAGACACAAAAACTGGAAATTAATTCTATATATAAACAAATCCATTACTGAAATACAGAAATCATTTGACTGGAATTCTATTCTTTATGTTTAATACCATTTATTCCAAGAAATTTATGAGACTAAAAATGAGATGCAGAAATATTGAGGAAAGAGTTCAACTAAACATGTTGGTATGTAAGTAAATTAAAGTTGCTTTCTTGATGCATAAAAAAACTGACTTTGTTCTTTCAGTGTTTAAAATCAGATTTGCTTTCTTATTGTTTACATTTAGCATTGATTGCCTATCAGTTGAAACCTGTTTTACGTTTAACCATTCATTGACTTTGATTATTTTAAACTATTGATTTTCTTAGTGAATATTTTGATCCATAATGTTTTTGGTTTATATGTTATGCTAGTTACTATTTTCTAAGAAATAAACCGAATATTAGTTTAAAGTGTCCAATCTGCCATCGCCAAGTCAAGATGTTTTCTTTTGAATAATATGAAACAAACAATCCTGACAGCAGTGCCTACTGTAGTCATAAAGTTCATGTTTATCTGACAGCAGTGCCTACAGTAGTCATAAAGTGCATGTTTACCTGACAGCAGTGCCTACAGTAGTCATAAAGTGCATGTTTACCTGTTTTACGTTTAACCATTCATTGACATTTGATTATTTTAAACTATTGATTTTCTTAGTGAATATTTTGATCCATAAAATGCCTCTTGGTTTGTGAGGTTCAATTTTCATAGCGCTTGTTTGCAAATAAGGCGTGTTACTCAACAGATGGACCGAGGGAGGGGCTACTTTTGTCGTGTTTTATGTAATCACGTTTTTGGGTCTAACGTGTTTCTTATGGACCCTTTAAAACAAATTAAGAGATGAAAATAACATTTAACAGTAGATAAAGTAAATAATATTTAGCTTTTTTCTTCCTACAAATGAAAATAACCCAGGATATATTTTTAAATAATTTGTTTTGGAACTTTATTGTAAGTACATATTGCCTTAATATGAACTGAATTCGTTGTTTGAAAATTCATATAATTCACAGTATCATCTGTTTTAACTTTTATTACGCATTACGAAAATCACCTGTAGTGTTATTCCTCATGCCCATACTTTTCTACAGTTTCATAAATTCTCTATTTGTCCAACGAAAAGTTAGAATTCAACACAACTTGATCTAGTATCTAAGTGATGCTTGATATTTGTATTTATAATAAGAAGTCAGATTACTCTAAGCACGAAACGAGTTTGATAGGAAGAAGTAAACATTGCAGAGTGCACCTAAATAAAAGAAGAGAACAAAGGAGTATCTCCATACTGATGACAAATGCGACCATAATATTTACAATAACGTTGTTATAGTCTTCCTGCTGTTGTAACAGTATTCTGTGATCCTAATGTTTTTTCTTCTATAATAACATGATGAAGTTACTGTCGCGAATAAATAACAAATATAATTTTGGAAATAATAAAAAATATCTGCTAATAGAAGATTATATGATTTTTTTTCTTTCTATAACAACGTCTGTTTGCTATCAATCGATTTTATTCCATACTTTATTTCAATCTACGGGTATAATGAGTGTTTCGTATCTTCAGTTGTGATAAGTAAATTAAACTTCGACCAGTTTTAATAAGCACAGGTAAGTTTAATGTGGTTGTATATCATACTTTTGTTCAACGTTTCTTATTAACTAATAATCTCAATGCTCACAGAACAAAAACATCAAAAATGCACACTTACCCTGGAAAGGGTAGCCTGTAATAAGGGGCCTGATATTTAAAGAACTTGATACCGCCATCCCAGTCCCGGGTTGCATTAGCCACTGTCGGCACGTCCCGGCGGCGGGAGCGTAATTCCACTCGGGAATAGACACGGTGAATTCTAAGAAAACCCTGTTGGAAAGAGGTTTAACGCTCTTATTTGTGTCTCACAGAACTGCTGGTTCGATGGAAAGGTACTTTTTATTTTAGCCTTTGTCCTCTGTCTTTAATTTCTTCCAGTGAGTATGCCTATCGCAAAGTCAGCTCCAAAAATCGTAATTTGAAATACCGAATTGTCAAGAATGGCAGTTAGTTACTGCTACTAAATAGGAAGAACATAAATGGTAAGAATTTAACACGCTGTATTACCATGAAGATTTAGTCGGACTTCACGCTATTCTAATACAGTCAATCAACTCTGGATCCACTCACAATGCGCACCCCACAGTGTTGATACGCTACTAAAATATCCCCGAGTCTCTAGCACGAGGCTGTTCTGTCGCGGATGAATGGATGCCTTGTGGTGGGCAGGGCCGTCGCCCTTCAACAGAAAAGTTAATTCTTATTGGCCAGGGTGTTATATGTCGCTCAACTCGATCATGCCCACATCGGCATATCTCTATATAGTAGCGTCTCAGCTTTAGCTGGTTATATCTCGTTATCAGCTTACGTTTAATATGGATCGGGCCCTTAAACGGCCAGAATTTGATATATCATGTCACTTACGAAAGAAGAAACCACGGAATTTACCAGTGCAAGTAGAAGTATTGCGGAGAAGTTTACTTTACTCTTGTCGTAATGATCGGTCTACGAGAAATAACCAGTTTGTTTGTGAGTTTCAATTTTCATAACGGTCGTTTGCAAATAAGGCGTGTTACTCAACAGATGGACCGAGGGAGGGGCTACTTTTGTCGTGTTTTATGTAGATAATTATTATCATTTTTTAAAAGTGAAATTAAAGGGTAATAAACAAATGATCGTCTGTTGTTTGGTATTTATAAAATATGTTTACTCTTCAGCCTATGTATTTTAATTACTGACACGAGGAATGTAATTCCTCAGTTTTTGTATATAAAACATCTTTTGTGTTCTTCTGACAGTTGTAATAACTACAGACCCCATTCTGCTGGCACACTGTAGTACATGATATAGTGTTTAATAAAATGTATATCCCACACCATAGGCTTAGTTAATAAATACCTATTTGTACTTACGAAATGATTAGGTTTATTGTATGTTATTAACTGGCATTATTATGGCATATGCATCACTTAGTCATTTCTTTAATATATTCGTTTCCTGGGCCTGGCATGGCTTGGTAGTTAGGGCGCTCGACTCGCAATCTGAAGGACGCGAGCTCGAATCCCCGTCCCAGGACATACTCATCTTATGTGATTGCCAATTGGGCCAGTCATTCGGATGTAAAAATTTTGGGCAAACAAATATACTAGCCGACCACAAACTAGTTAGGGTTAAGATCGTAACGAAAAAAAAAAAATCCTGTTTAGGAATAGCATCAAACTAATATTCTATATTATAGAAGTTCTCAAGTTGTGGTTGGTGAACCACTAGTAGTGTGAGAGCTTCCTTAATGTGGTTGGTAGTCTGAGAATTAGTTATGTTCATGTGGTTGGTAGTCTGAGAGTTCCCTTCATGTGGTTGGTAGTCTGAGAGTTCCCTTCCTGTGGTTAGTAGTCTGAGAGCTCTCTTCATGTGGTTGGTAGTCTGAGAGCTCCTTTCATGTGGTTTCATAATTACGGAAAGGAAGATCAAATCCGAAACTTGAGAACTTAAAAATCTAGCTATATAAATTGTAGAAAAAATATGCGGAAAAAGGTGTAAAATTCTACGTTATATGGATTTTGAGTTGATGTGGGAAAAGTATTTTTTACTTAGAAGTTTTTGCACACTGTAAAATAATGATCTGCTTGCTGGTTTTCCTATAAAAGAAGAAGAGCGCTTGTTGGGGCTTTCTTGAGACAGAACGTTAAGGTCAGAGTTGAAAAGAAATCACTTAGAATTTTGGATTCAGACAATTAGAGTGTACTCCGAACTTGCAGACAAATCAGTTCGTCTTCCGATACCATTTGCTACAATATATCTATTCGTTAGGTAATGAAGCTCAAATAGCAGAAAAACGAATACTAAACCTGACCAGAGGCTAGAGCTGACGAACATTACATGACTTTTCTAACAAAAAACAGCCGTACCCATCGTACTAAAATATAGAAAGGTAAGTCTGTGGTTAATATCAATATTGTAGTGACTTAAAAAACAAAAAAGTTTGGAACCACTGTTCTATAACATCAGAAATAGAAAAAGTTAACTAGTACATATAATCTGAAAATATGAAAGGACTTATATTACTCCTTTCTGTTGGTAGGAAAACAGAATGTTTCGATACAAAACACTTGATTGAAACCATTTCTTTCAACTGTTATCAAACTAGAGAGTTCAAACGTTTCGACAAAAATCAAATGTTTAAATGAATTATTTAACAACAATGTGTCATGTTTTCAGAATCCCAGTTTGAAACTTCTCTACAACTTTTTCCTGTCCCTTGAAAGTATCTTTGTGCAGGCAGCAACAGTATTTTGGGTTACAACAAAAAATGAAAATCTGTGACGAGGCGAGACTTTTCACTAACATCAACATGACACACTTTAGATAAATTCTCGATGCTTTCTGTTAACAAACTATCAGTTGAAGGTTAAAAAAAACTGTTATTTACTAAAAGAGATACATATGTCAATTTGCAAACATAAGTGAACGTATATTTGATTGTTTATGCTATTTTATTAACTATACCTGGTTTTGAGGAGTGTTTCATGCATTGTATACAATTACTTCGTTTAGTTAGCAATGAAAGTTTGGTATGTTTTCCCGTTTAAGAATATTTTTTTGCATATATATATTAATGTAATGATTCTCGAGCAACAGAAAAATTACAGTTCTTGTTTAAAATAGACTTTTTAAACATAATACAATTTGATTTTTACATTGTGTAAACTTACATTTGGAGTTCTAGATGATTTTTTTTGTAATAAGCAAGTGAACAGTTTGCAAAGTTTCACATGTAAGTTTTTGGTTATTGTTCCAGATTTTAAATGACTTCTTGCGATATTTAATAAACAGATACATGTGCATAGGTTTTCCAATTCTTTTGACTTAGCTCAAGATTAACTTATGATATATATATATTAAAACAATAAATATGTTCATTTTCTAGAATAAAGTTATAATAAATAAGTGATATTCACATGAACAAATGCACATATCAACAGATGCAGAAAACACATTGGCTAGCTACGTTATTTTGTCTAACATCGCAGTGACAATAGTCTAGACACAGTATGTAAGATATTTCACAAGGTGCCGCAAAGCATTGTGTTCTATTGTTGGCCATTCGTCAATAATCTTGTCTGCAATTGGTACACCGATGTCAGCAAAATATCATGGTGACCGATGTGGCAACTAAGTCCATAATGCTGAATCAGATTTAGGTGTTGGAGATGGGAAATGAATGAAGCCACTTTTATTCTATTCCAACCAATGTCAGATAATACGAGCATGGAAGATTTTTTCATTATCATCATAGAAAAGCCTTTGCCTAACATGGTGGGAATGCGACATTCTTGAGTGGACATCAACAGTAATAATGCTGACGTACACTCTGGATTACATTCGTTCTGCTAATACAAAGAAAGGACTCAACTATTACCACGAGAATGTTTCACACACCATTATTCCACCTCCAAAAGCTTTCACTGTTGAAAAATACCAGCGGGGTCAAGTGCTTCATGTGGTTTTTAGGCATTTTTACTTCATCTTAAGTATCGAAAGTGAAATACGACTCACTAAACAATATGACACATTTGCAATCATTCCTCATTCGCGATTTTGCTTTAAACACAACTATAACAGTGTTTCCGTGTTTATATCTAAGATTAGTGGGTTTTGTGACTGATTATGGTTGTTATGACAATTTTGGATATGTTCTCTACATGACACATTAAGATAGTTGAATTCTGACTGTTCTTAAAAGAACCAGTCAGTTGTGTCACAATATGTCGTCTGTTACACTTAAAAAGTGTGTCAATCGTACTTCACTATATCAGCACACAACGTTTTGTACTAAGTTTTCTTATATCATTCAACTGCGACAGTTGGAAGACTTTGATGGCAGTTGTCTTTCAAAGACAGATCAATGAAACAGACTTTGTTAAAGACACTCCTGCTAAATAGGTGCTTTTTTTCATGCTCTTTTGAAAATTAGAGAGGTCCTTGCGGTTACCAATTGTCTGACAAATAATCTTGGTAAAACAATATATCTCTGTATTTATAGGACTCAATCAAATACCTAATGCACCACATGATTGGTTTATTTTAAGCAAATGAAAAGCATGTTTTACAAATCTCCCTATGTTTGTGGTGCCTAATAAAGTGGCCAGTCAGTATAATTGCATTATTATAATAAATAGTTCCTGCATAGTTATAAGTGTTGAGTATTTTAAGAATTTGCCCAAAACAGTACCAGAAATGGAGTCTGATACATTTTTACTATAAATATATCACATATTGTAGTTTTAAAATTTCAAATAAATATACTTATTGTATAATATTCTAACATATCGTATTGTGTGGTGGGTAGTATCTGTGTAAATTGACGTTTTCGGCATTTAGCTTTAGTATCAAAATACTGGAAGTACAGCCTTCTGTGGTATGCAGGCATGCTACATGTTCCCTTATTCAATTTAAAATATTTCAAAAATTTCGAACATATGTGTACATAGTCTTAATGTAAAATGTCCATCAAAGGAATTGCCAAATTCCTTTTCCCTAGTTGTTTATTGAACTGGGTCATTCAATTAAGGTATCAGATGCACTTTCTTATGGGAATGGTTCATGTGAAGTTGAGCTATGTAGAAACAGACACTGATAGTTTCACAAGCAGGTCAGGTGATACCTCTTGGATACAACTATCATTATTTTGCTATGGAAATGACCTACAGTCACGTGGTAAGCACATGTACCCTTA